GTAAATTTATTCAATAAAATCGCCATTGGCTTCAACCACAGCCTCCAGACGATTTTAGAATCTCCTGCATCTCTTCTGGATGGTCTCCTTGTTTAAGATGGTGAATGCTGCCATAATCCTAGCCTTCAGTTCATCTTTGGTATTACAAGGAGTTTTTTTGGTCTCTTGCTCAACTGCACCCTGCACATAATAATCAAGAGGATTGCAGCCTGGGGAGTTAGGTGGCCAGATGTAAGGGGTAATGTGGTCATAGAAATTGTCTTCTGTATCTTTGTAATCACCATTAGACTCAGCCAACTCTTTCCAAATCCTCTGCACTGTCCTCAGACTGACACCAAACACTCTGAAATGTTCATATTGGAACTTCCAGCATGAATGCCAAGCAGTACAGCAAGCAGTTCCCAAATTGCATCATGGTACTCTTTCTTAGAGACAGTGTCCAACTGACCCTACTATACAGTCGACAAGATCTAAAACAAACAATATGCTAACAGTTTTGTCTATTGCACTTCTCACTTGTGGAACTCTTCCAGCTCCTTGCTTCCCTGTCAGCTTTGATTTTCAAAAATTTAAATGTAATGTCAATCATTTTTTTATATTGTCTCGCACTCAATAACCCCTTGCATCTTAGTAGCTTTATTGCCTTACTTAGGATGAAATGATTTTTTTTTTTTTTTTTTAAATGAAAAAAGAATTCCAGGTTCTAAATTTCAATTTTTTTTTAAGTTATAAGAAACCAAATGGTTTTAACATTTTAGAGAGGGATGAATTTTCAATAAATTTACAGTGAAAACTGGACCCCATTTTAACTTACAGAGAATTTTATAAAAAAAAATATATTGTAACATTCATAGTCTCAAGTAATCTGTAGTAATATGAAAGGCAAAAAACTTGAAAAATGATTAGTTCTTGTCGCAACTCCATCAAATATTCTTATTACCTGGAATTAAAAACTAATTTTGGTTTGGTTTATTTTGTTTTATGGCATATCAACCTCAATGGGATATTTAATGCCGACAAAATGTTTTATTGCTGGTAATATTTTGTTTTGTCAAAAATCTATTTCTGGTAATATATTTCCTTCAAAATTGTATTGCTGGTAATAATTTTTTTCAAAAAAGTATTGCTAGTAATAGTTAACTATTTGCGCATAGCTGGGGCCCTAACATGTGCTACCAATCTGGGTCAGGATGGACCTGGGAACACCAGCAATTAAGAGGTGGTTCCATGCTCCTCAAAACCTCCTGATCAGAGGCTTTGCTGTTGGACATAGTTTACTGTCTTACCCAGGACGTGGATGAGGTTTAACATCTTACTCAGTACGGAAAAAAAAAAAAAAAATAAATTTATATGTTTGTACTATTTTTAATTTAAAAAAAAAAAAAAGAGTATTTGAAAGTACTGATTTTTTAAAATTTGTAGGACATTTTAATTATATAGAAAAGGTATTTGATGTTTCATTATTAATTTGTTTTCCTTTTAAAATTCTTCTTTCATGTGTCAAGTCCCTTTAGGACATAAAAGATAATGACTCTCCACAACTTCCTGCTTTTTGTTGCACTAAATAATTTTTAATCCTTTACCAACTTTGTGTCCTTGTTCTGCCTTCCATTCACACAAATTTGTGAAGAGGGATATTTGTAGTTTCCTCATGTGTTTTCTTGCTTTCAGTATGTCCTGTGAGTGTTAAATTCTCTAGTTCCTCTTTCCTCATTATGCAACCTAGATATTTCATGTTTTCTTTCAGATTTCTTTGTTGCTCACATTTCTCTGCCCATGTAATTTTCCATATTCATTGGTAGAACCGCATCTGTTGCTTCCAGCCTCTTCATCTGTGAGGAAATTGTCCATTAAAATGATTATATGCACTTTTAATTTATATAAAATTTCTATAAGTTGTAAATTTAATTAAACATAATTTAATAAGATTATTTATTCATACTTTGAGAGCAGCTATTTTCTGACTCAAATTTCCTGCCAAATTTTAATCTCTACAATTTTACTGTATATTTATAAACTGCAAGTATTTTTTTTTAATTAGTCATCTCCAATTTAATTAATCTGTTAATTGGAAACATTAATAACAATGCAAAAACGTCCATTTTCACCCAGGTTTGTTGGTTAGATTTTATTTAAAAGCATTTCAACCCTAATGCTTTTCACCCAGGGGAAGTCTAATTTCATGTTAAGGCAATAAAGCCACTAAGATGCAAGGTGTTAATGATTGTGAGAGAATATTTAAGAAAAAAAACATTATGAAGGAGAGAGAATAATAAAAGAAGAAGAATTAAGACAAAAGATAACAATTGACATTACATTTAAATTTATGAAGATTAAACATGTGGGTTATCCCGCTTAACCTCCCTAAAAATACTGTTACTAAGGGATGCACCATAAACTGATAAATAGGCAATGATATATTTTCACTCATTCTCTTTTACAACTCTGGCTATAAGATTAGTGCATAAGGACTATTCCTCATGTCAGTAATTCAAACATCTTTCCAGGCAGCTTTAATGTTCAAAAATTTAAATGCAATGTCAATCGTTATCTACTGTCTACCTGATTACTCTTCTATTGTTCTTGCTTCTTATTAATGTTTCTGTTTTCTAATTCTTTCTCACTCAATAACCCCTTTTACCTTAGTGGCTTTACTGCCTTACTTGGAGTAAATTCAATTAAAAATAAAAAATGCAAGCCAGCTCAGTACAGCTATGTCTTTTTCTAGCAATGATTCATTGATGATGAGGCTGACACTTTTGAGGCCTTAAGTATTTATGGTTAACTCATTCTGACACTGATTGAGAATGGTGAAGAGACGGTGCTAGTGGAAGTGTTTGAAGAGGCATTGGTAGTACTGGTATAGAATCCAAAATTCAGCACTATAGAAGATAGCTTTATACACCTTTAAGTTTTTGTTGCTTCTCTTTATTTTTTTTAAGGTTATTTAATCTTTAGCTTAAATATTTCTCATTTTGGCACTGTTTGAGGATAGTAGAGAGAGTGTGTCTTAGTGGCTTCACTGCCTTGCATGGGGGGAATTTGATTAAAAATAAAAAACAACTGTTCAACAAACAGAATTAAAGTTTGCAATAAAAAGGAAAAGGAATAGGGTAAAAATGAAATAATATCAAGCAGGCAGGCAAACAATATATGCAAGGAAAATTAAAAGGTAAGGAGGCAAAAAGTTAAAAAAAATTAAGAATTGTCAACACATAAAAGCAAATTTAAACAAGTGAATGTAGCATTCTGTCTTCTAGACAATGCAGATTTGGCAAGTGTTCTGTAGTAATTCCTATTGGATTTCTCTATTCGTGAGTGTGCTTCTTGATTCTGTCTATTGGCAGAATACAGCAGCCACACTTATTATTTCGAGAGGTGGATGGACAGGTCCTACTAACATCTGTTTTATTTTAATTTGTTTTTTGTTGCATTCTTTAGTTTGATTTTGGGTCCATTCTTTCCACTGTCATTTTATGTTTCATGAAATTTTTGTATCTTTATAAGGAAAATATAAAAGAAAAAAAGACATTGAACATTTAAAAAATTTTGATATCACGGGGTGTTTTGTGGGCCTCCTGTGAACATGTGGTATTGTGGTACATGTAGGATTGAGAGGTGATGGATAACTTCTTGTGGTGATTGGTTATATTGTAATGAATGAATGAGTAATGATTGTGAATATCTAGGACTAAGATAGTCAGCAAAGACCAGCCTTTTCCCCTATGGCCTTGTGCCAAAATTTTGTATGAAATTACAAAATAATCATTCCTATTGGACTGAAATGAACAAAAAGTTTCTAAATATTGTTATAAAGCAAGAAATTGATGACAGTAGACTGACTAGATCAATGTATAATAATGATAATCCATCATATCAGAAATTCAGGCAGAAATTATGTCAATATGTTTTCTGTATTCTCTTATTTATTATGTTGCTAACAAACATTTTGAAAGAAACAAAGCAAGAAAACATCAACTAAATATCTGTTAAATGTAAATGCATATTGGCTTCATCTATGTAATGGTCCAAGATTCTAGTATGTAGTAGACTGTATGCTTTTCCTTGGAATCAAGTTCTAAAGTAATTGGAGAGACGAAAAAACCAAGTTATTTTTTATGCTATTTTTTTTTATTTGACTTTATAAATCAATCATTGACACCTGTTGATGTCATGAAGATGGTATCTGAATTCCTTGATGAATCAAGAGCAAACATTGGGAAAAAGTTGATGAATCCAATTAATTTTATATTGATTTACCATTTTGCTGAGTCTATTTGTGTTGATGTTACACCTTTCATATCTCAGTCTCTTTAATGTCGATATCTATCTTATTAAAATAGCATCATTTACCTTATTTACATTGTACAGAGTTATCCTCATCTTCATTGTCATATTCACAATGTTTTGGCCATTGTACACTCTGGCCTTCTTCAGGTGATTGGAATTTCAAACTGAACCATTTTTTCATCCACTGGGGTAGATTGTTCTAGTTCCACATGCCATGCCTCTTCCAGATGTCTCAGTTATTTCCCTTTAACTCAACTCTCCAAGTTTTTTGGTTCACCACTGCTATAGCCTGGTATTGAACTCACAAAATTATTGAGACATCTGGAAGAAGCATGGCACATGGAACTAGAACAATCTACACTGCTGGACAAAATGAAGTTTTCAGTTCAAAATTCTAATCACCTGAAGGCAGCTTGAGCATACAACAGCTGAAACGTTGTGAATATGGCAATGAAGATGAGGATAACAGTCCAAATAACGTAAATAAGGTAAATAATCATAATACCTTACCTCAGAGATATAGACAAAACTGCATCAGTTGGAAAATTTATATATTTTTTTTTCATCTGTTCCATTAAATTAGGATTTATCCCACAAAGTACATTGGAATATCTGTCTAAGAACATAGTGACCCCCTCTCTTGGCCCTGATTGCTATCTGTGCCCCTCTCTCACTGCCTTGCCCTGTTCGTCATCTGTGCCCCTCTCGCCATGTTCGTCATCTGTGCCCCTCTCCCTCTCGCCATGTTCGTCATCTGTGCCCCTCTCCCTCTTGCCATGTTCGTCATCTGTGCCCCTCTCCCTCTTGCCATGTTCGTCATCTGTGCCCCTCTTATACCCTGTTTGTTATCTGTGCCCTCCTCACTCTCACCATGTTCATTATCTGTATCCCCTCTCTCTCTCGCCATGTTCATTATCTGTGCCCCTCTTTTACCCTGTTCGTTATCTGTGCCCCTCTCTCACTCTTGCCCTGTTTGTCATCTGTGCCCTTCTCTCTCTTGCCCTAATCATTATCTGTACCCACCTCTCTCTCGCCATGTTCATTATGTGTCCCACTTTTACCCTGTTCGTTATCTGTGCCCCCCCCTCTCTCTCACCCTGTTTATTATTGAAGTTTATACCTGCTATATGCAGTATATGAGAACATTTACAACATCTGTATGCGGATATACAGAATGAGTCAAAAGTAGCACCCAATTTCTCTTTTTCTAGGTGTAAGTTGATTGCAATACAAATGGTAAACAATCAATGAAAAACACATTTATCTAACCATTTACCAAGAGAAAGAAACTAGAAACCACACTAATCTGTAAAAACAAATAAGAAAATTAATAATCTTTACAGCAAATATTGACAAACTAACTTCCCAAAATTAGGGTTCTACTTATGACTTAGCCAATATATCATTTTTATAGAGAGAAGAGGATTCATACCTTTCCCAAGGGTATTAGCGTATGAGTAAGTGAATGTAATGGATTCAACTGGAATCGGAATCCAGCTCTTTGGTTCCTCAGTCCAAGCTGCTATCCATTACTCCACCATGCCTCCTTTTTCTACCTACATTTATATATGTTACAAATTAAACTAAGCACAAATGACTATTAAAGGATGAAAAATTTTCAGATTTTTATGTCATTTTGGAGCCTTTTTGTTTTACATTCAAATTTGTGAATGTGTTTTGCTCATGCAAATAATGAATTTTATATAGTGTCTTTTTAAACTGATCTCAAAAAGCACCATATAAAATTCATTATTTTTATCCATAATGTTGAATGTGTTAAATTATTCAACTTTTTAGCAAAGAAAATCTCAAGTTGATGTTAAAAATTGCTGCAAAACATTGTTGATTTATTTAAGATGGAATTATCTATGACTTGTCTCTATTTTGTATTTAGATACATTGTATTTATTTTCAGTTTTTCAAGCTAAACTGTTCATCTATATTGAATATTAGATTAAAAGCCACACCCTACTGGGCAGCATTTAAGCTAGCTCCTACAGAGGGCTCTTGGTTGGGTCTTCATCACAAAAGGTAGGGAGAAGGAGATGTGATAGGCAACAATAAACTACATAAGAATTCAAAATTGATTGCTGCATTTAAGTATTGCTTTAATATTTAAACTTACCTTTTAAAAGTTCAATGATAATTCTTCTGCCACCACTTAATTTAAAGACAATTTGATGTACACAGACCTTTAATTTCTGTACAAACAATTATTTTATGGAAGATTTTCACTTGATTTCAGTTAATTTCAATTATTCCCAAATTCATTTCAAAGTTATAAAAATTATCATACAAAAAATTCATTACAAAAAAATAAAAATAAATAAAATTTAAAAAAAAAAATTAAATAAAAAATAAATAAATAAAAAAAAAATTAAAAATTAATAATATTGTCGAAAACAATCGCAGTAATTAAAACTTGAAAATCCAAAATTTAGGAATGTGGGTTCATATACAGCTTGGAATAATATTAAATTGGCTCACAAAGTTGGTCTGATTCAAAAATGGCATGCTATGTTGGGCTATGGCCTCTAGGAGTAAAGTTGAAAAAGTGTGACACAGTGACAATGACATTTGCATTATGTAGATTTGGTACTAGTCTACTTGTAAAAAAAAAGAAAGAAAAAAAATTTACAATTTTTGTAAATCATTAGACCTTTCCCAAGCCACAGCATTTGACAGGATCAGAAAATATTAATTTCTTTTACCATTTTAGAAGTGGGGGTTCTGTTCATAAAATAAATGCAGTGTCAAATCAATCCATGACTTCTTAAAGAGTTATTTGTACAAGTAAGGCAAGTATTTTTATCATTTTAGAATTTGGTGGGGAAGGGGGTCCTTTTCATAATATAAATACATTGTCAAATTGGTCCATGAATTCTTAGAGTTATTTGTACTTTGTTTTATTTACAAGTGTCAAGTTTGACTATTAGGAATTGGGTAAAAAAAAAAAAAAGAAAAAAAAAGCCCCCCACTTCCAAATTCTAAAATGATAAAAATACTTCCCTTATGGCCATATGACATTGAAAAACAGCTTCCTATATAAGTAACATCAAGCTTGGTCAGTACTTAGACAGGAATACTCAGTGCTGTAAGCTTGGATGTGCTGGTGGTGTGTTGGCTTCAAATTATTAATCAGAGAACAGAGTTCCAATTCCACCTTTTCTCCCCCCAGTTATGAGTTAATTAGTAAGACTCATATCATTATTATCAAAAAAAAAAATCATACAATCTAAATATATTTTCTGGGTCTAAATAACCTGCAATAAGCCATAGAAAAATCAATCAAACAATCATAAAAATCTATTTTTTTTTTAAATTCTGACAAATGAGGTTTAAAGAGGGTCTTAAATTAATGGTAATCTACAAAATTATTCCCTCCAAAAATTTTCCATATTTTTTATGAGCAGACCAGTCAGTTTAAGTAGTGCCTATCTTTATTTTTTTCTATCAACAAATATATTCATATATTTGGAAAATCTCTAATATCCATATTGCACAGACAACTATTTCTCTCTTATATTCTGTTCAACCCTCTACTTGGTTATCTATATTATTCCATTTATATCTATCTCAGGCTTGCTAAGCATAGAGCTAATTATAATCTTCAAAGTGATTGATTCTGTGGCTAGAAGAAACAGGTTTTAAATTATAAGAATTTTTTTTTAAAAAGTAGAACAGCTGTAAGCACGTAAGCTGTCTCCTTAGACTGTCACACAATTTATCTTCAACTGAATTTCTTTAGAGGTTTCAGGAAGGCCAAAGTGTAATTTTAGATATAAAAAAAAAAATGTTAAGTCTTCTTACCAAAAACCAGAAGTGAGAGAGTGCATTTTGTAATTATCACTTGAAAGTGAAAATGATGACCAAAACTGCATCATGGGAAAATATTTTTGAAAAAAAAAAAAAAAATAAAAAAAAAATAAAATAAATATTAAGAATTCTGCTTACATTTTTTTTTTTTATTTCTTTCTCTCCCTCTATTTTCTTTTTTCTATCTCACTCCTTCCTTTCTACACATATTTTTATCTTTCTTGTCTCTCTTCTCTTTCCCAATTATTTTTCTCTATCCTCTTTTCTATCGCCTTCCTTTTATTTTCAACTTTTCTCTCTTTTCACATTTCCTTTCTCCCCCCCACCCATTTCCTTTCACTCCTTTTGTGATTTTCTAAGTTTCTTTCCCTTTTATTTTTCTCTTTATCTTCTTTTTCACTCTTCTTTAGACAGCTATTAATGAAGTTGCCAATAAATCAAAAAAAATAATGGAGTATAATTATTATGTGGATGACAATAGATAGAGATCAGATATTACTAGAATTATCAGATATTTACTTCTGATTTAAATTCTGGAAAAAAAAAATGTCACAAAGAGCAAACAAAATTATCTCTGTATAAGGTCATATACAGAATCTGGTTCTGTTATATGGAAATATCAATAATCCAATCCCATTAAAAGAAATTTTATATGTATTGAGTTCTAATAAAAAACAAAATATAAAAATAAAATATATAAACAAAAAATAAAAAGGATTCAAATAAAAGTAAGGCCTTTGCACTTTCTTTTAAAACCCTTATCTCTTTCTTTCTCACTAAACTTTTCTCTAGATACTTCTCTCTCAACTAACAAGAAGGCAACCCTCAAATAAAAAGAAAAGATTTAACCCTGTCCAAAAACACAGGATGTTTGCGGGACATGAGTCTACAAATTTGTGACTAAAACCTACACACATAACTTCCATTAAAAAAAAAAAAAGCCAGAAAATAAAATAATTTTGACCAATCAAAAAAAAAAAAAAAAAAAAAAAAATTAACACAAAGAGACTTTTGATGTCAACTGAAAGCAAATTTCACACCAAAATCTCAAAGCTTGGTCAAAAGGAGGATATATGCTCACACTTCTAAGATAAATTGCAAAAGGGATGGTGAGAGTGATAAGAAATGCAGCCACTGGGGAAATCAGCCATGCATGACACATGAAGTAGTTAAGAGTTCATCTGCTAATGATATTTCTGCCCTGCTTAGGACTGAAAAAAACACAGTAGATTGACACTGACTTATTTTTAATATTACTACTGCCCCGAGCACCGCTTGAGTTCAAAACTACCAGACTTTCTTCAAGCTACTACCAATATCCGCCTTACAAATGAACATTTTTGTGACACTGTATATAAATGTATATATTATATTTACATATACCCTTTCACCACAGTTCATTTTATGCTGTATGCTTCCAATAAAATAAAACAACAAGAACCATCCTGGCATACAACATCCACACTGGTAATCTCCCGACGTGAACACACACACACACGTTATTATATATATATATATATATATATATATATATATATATATATAGAGAGAGAAAGAGAGCAACCACATTTCATGAAGAGACCAATAATGCAATCCCATTATATATATATATATATATATATAGAGAGACATATTTACCGGCCTGAATATTCGAGAAATTTCATAGAAAATATAAGCTTCAACAGTTATCAAACCTGTAACCCCAACAGGAATCATCATTTGATTTGATGTGCTGTCAACCATAAAAAAAAGTATTTACTTAAATAAACTGTATCTATAAACAGAAAATATATTAAATAATTGTCAGACTTAATCCATTTCATTATATATATATATATATATATATATATATAATACACAGACAGGACAACCCCATTTCATGGCGATACAAATGATCTAATAGCATTATATGTAGATAAATATGTTAAACTCAGATCTGCGCAAGCCACTCCCATTATATAGAGGGTGCCACATAGAACTATCCCATTCATAAATTATTATTGGTCTCACAGTACAATGGACATAGAAATTTGAATTTTTTTTATTATAAAATAAAAAATATCTTACACTTTTGACTTTACAGCAATTTAATAAAGTGAAAATTAGTTCTCAGTCATATTAAGCAACCAAGCTTCAAATTGTTTTATAAATGAAACTTCAGTCATAATTTAATGACAAAATGTAGTTTATTCTACCCATATGAAATCTATCATCCAAATGTAAACAGTTGTTTTAGAAATGAAATGAATGTATTTTTAGTCTTGGAAAATGCTGAAAAATATATCCTCTCAATTTTTCATTTGGTCTACAGAAAATAGACAAAACAAATGTTACTCAAATAATGGTCTCAGAATACAATGAAAACAGATATACACCTTTGCTAGAGTCAGCAAAATCCACTCATTTTAAATTAAAGCAATTTGTCTTAGGATGATACAATTTCTGTATGCGTGGTTGATACTGTAACACAGCAAAAATTAAACACTGTATCAAGATATTAGGGCAATTCTGTTAAAAAATACTCTTAAAGAATGTAGCAATTTCCAACCAAGTTTGCAACTGTCTGAGGCTCAAATTCATGCTGCTACTACTGATGATTATAATCATCCAATTTTTACAGAAGCATAAAACTTTTAGAGGAAATGAAATAAAAGGAATAATTTTTTTTATAGAATTATGTTACTTATGAAATAATGTTTAGTTTGTAAAAATATATTGTATTCCATATTTTAATATAGAAATTAAAAAAAAAAACTTACAATAGAAATATTACCAGTATCTTTATTCTATGAAAATATTGTCTTTATTTTTACTCTTCCTTAGCAACATTCATTATTTAAAAAAAGAAAAAAAAGAAAAAAGAATAATAAATTGTAAGTATGCATGTTCAACAATCATTCAGTCATTTGATACAGAACTGATGATTAGGAATTATAGTAAAAATACCAGCAATATCTTTTTTTATAAAATTACCAACAATACACACATACTAATAAAATGTAGCAACTTCACCCAAATCTGTTTAAAATACTACCAAATAACCAAAATAAAAGAACTTTCATGACATTAAACCATTGATATCCTACAACGTCTTTAAATCAAACTGTCATTCCAAAATATAACTTCAACAAATGTACAATATAAAAACATATCTCCACCTTCAGTATTCATGTCCACATAGGCATGTACAAAATCTGAGTATCATCTACCATGTATTCAAATATGGAAGCAGAATAACATATTTATTACTTCCAAGCTCCAAAAAAAATTGAATTTCAGCATTAAATGACCCATAAGGAGTTGGTGTTGCTATTAAACAAACCAATCAGTCTGATTTCAGTGTGAGTGAAGTAAAAAATCAAAACATAAAATTAAGTACAAATAGTTGTTAAATATGTTATTTTTAGAATATATACAAGAATTCTACTAGTTTAGTTACTATGAAATGTCTTCCTTTGCTATTTATTAAATGCAGGCAAAAAATAAAAAAATAAAGCAACCATTTAAGCCACTAATTCTTGTGCAACATGAACACTAGTCAAAGATCATAAAATTCTTATTTAAAAAAAAAAAATGTATCTCTCCATTACTCGCAAATTCATATAAATTTTATCAATAATGTTACTTGTTATCAAGCATATGGGCTGGGCCTTTAATTAAAAAATGTTAGTCGAGTCTATGTTTATATCACTTCAATTTTTTTTTTTAGATAGCATAAAGTTTGTTACAACTACTTCTAAAACAGTAACAGACTTAAAATACAAAATAAATGAAAACTTGAAGGAGGAATTTACTCTATTACCTGTAATAATTACCACAAGGAATACATAGGCGAAACCTCAAGAAATTTTAATGAAATATATGAACACAAAAAGGATCTTTTGCAAAACACTACACAATGCATTAGTTGTTTGAGTCTAACCATTGTTATAGACAAGCGTATGGTTGCAAGAAAGAAATATGACAACAGTAGAAATGGATTTACATGGTTTATTTCAACAGGAACGTGAGGGCTAGGGACAGCTACCTTGGTGTGGTAAAGTTCATAAGCTGGCTTTCGGATCTGGTCGATCTCTCATAGTAGTTCACACATGTTGACGGTGGTTGACGCTCTCCTGTTGACAGCTGCTGAACGTGACCGGTCTCCTTTGTGGCCACCTGTCGACTGCTGTTGAACTTCCCTGTGATCCCTTTTATAGCGCTTTTTTATGGCTTAACAGGCTCGAGAAACGAAGCGAGTATAATTAGGAGGGAAGCATTTTTATTGGACGAAAAATAGAGCACTTTAATTATTATTTTATTTTTCGACCGGAACACGTGTGTCGGAAACATTTGTAAAGAAAGTTAATGGTCATTTTGTGACGGGGCTTTGTCCCGTTCACATCCGGTTCTCGCTCTTGGGTGTTTGCCTGTAAATCAGCCGAGATATGTCTTATTTTATTTTATAACACCATGATTAATAAATGCTAAGTAAAAGAGCAAGCAATTTACTAAGACAAATGTTTAGATAGTTCTTTAATTGCTTCATCATCCACTGTAAACTGATGTCCACATTCTTATATTTCACCTTTCTTGGCAAATGATCTATTATCACAGAGGTGGATATATAATGACAAATGTGATAAAAACAAACTAAATGAAATCAGCTGGACTATATACCCAAAACATTTTCTTTTAAATTTTTAATCTAAATTTAAAATTTTTAGTGTCCCCTCTTCTTCATGTGCATATGTAGCTGCATCAATGTAAACATCACTTTAGTCTGATGAAGGTAAAAAACAAAAAGTGTCATATGAAAAACTTCTTTCCACTTAGTCATAGATTTCCCTAAAAGTATATCTAAAAACACACAAATACACTCCAATCATGATTTTATGACCAAAGCACTTATTTGTCAGATTTTTTGTCATAAAATTAAAAATCCTCCTTAAATATCATGTTCGTTCAGACCATAGAAGTTCATGGCTCCCAGTAGCTTCCATTTTTTATCTGACATGTTTAATTACTGTGAGATTTCTTGGGGTAAAATAGTAGAGTAGTTTCTTCATGTCTTCTCCATGAACTTTAAATCAGAGTAATCTTTCTCCAAAGCTGGTAGCCAGCAAAGGCTAGATAGTCCGATCTGTAAGTTTAGTACAGTAGGAATAAATTAGTTTCAACTGGCAAAGTTTCTCCAAGCTGATAAACTTGGTATTCAATAGAGCTCCCCACAAAGCAGGATGTGGCACAAGGCCGGTTCTATCTGTCTTTCCAAGCTTGTAGGCTTGAACAAAAATTCCCTGTAAATCCTGTAATAATGGGGTTAGGTAGCTGTTTACCTCCCCAGATGAGAGACTGCCCTTCGGCATAGCCTTATCCAGATTCCTCTCTGTCCAGAGGTGGAGAGGTCGACAAGCAGATAAACTCACAGAAATAGTGATT